TTCCATTATTCATTTATGTATATCATACCGCATGAAAAACATACACATTTATTGTTTTCTACCTACGGAGCCCCTAAAGGGACATAGGTGATTAAAAAAAAAATTACAGTATCTGGTGCGCACCAGATACTAACTGGAATCGCACCAAATACTTTAGTATCTGGTGAGCACCAATTAGTATCTGGTCAGTACCAGTTAGTATCTGGTCAACGTCATTGATATTGTTGATGAAATCACTCTAAATATATATAAAATATATAAATCACCTATGTCCCTTTTGGGGCTCCGTACTATACCTGTCCCTTAGTGTTGAATTGTATTTTTTCCCTTTTCTATGTCTATTATTTAATGTTTTTCTGACCCATAGTTTTATTGACTGAAGCTTCTATTGTATTCCTTTTGTATTGATTTACTGCCAGCTTGATCTTTTTACTATTTTAGTTTTTACTATAATCGGTCTTCTCTGTTTTAACTGCTTCCTTATTGTGTAGTGCAATGAATATGAGAGATGCATGTTACAAAACGATACATTATTATTATTATTTTTATTATTATTATTATTGCCCGTCTGCAGTAGATAGTATTTACAAGGTGCTATCTAAATATGTCAGACAATTTATTTTACAATTTCCATTTGAAATATAACATGTGTCACATTGACATCTTCATTAGTGTATTAACACTCTTAATTAGATTTCATCCTGATATTTCTTGGCTAATGCATAAAAGCTGTTGCATAATGCTAGAATTTCATGGGCTCGTTTCGACAGAGTGGTTTTTGTTGTTTCCTATTTCACAACCAAAGATAAACGCAAAAAACACTTTATGAAAAATTACTTACTTTTTTTTTTATAAATTCATAATGTAATGGACCATATAACTAAGATTTAGGGGCACCCAATTGAGCCCAGTGGGAAATTCTGGTGCATACAGCACCAAGAACAAAGTGCACAGCTGGCCTGCATATGGAGCCAAAGAGACAAGGTGCATAGACAGCACACATAGTGCAAACAGATTTAACGAGTACAACATACACAAATAAAATATCCTGAAATAAAACAGAATATTGTGATGCTATCCATTTCGTATACCAGTTTATCCTATTCAGGGTCATAGGGGGTCCAGAGCCTATGGGTACAAGGCAGTGAACAACCTAGGAAGGGGTGCCAACCCATTGTAGGGTACACACACACACACACACCTATGGACAATTTGGTAATTCAAATTCATCTTAGCATGGATGGTGGGAGATACGGTGGGCATCAAGCTGCACTGTCCTGAGTTTGTTCGCAAATCAGAGAGACTGGATGGTGTTAATGGCCCTGGAGAAGCCAAAGAACAGGATCCTGACTGTGATACTGGCTTTGTTCAGGTGACAGTAGACTCTGTAAAGGATGCGAATCACAGCATCATCCACCCCTGTGTGTGCCTGCAAACTGCAGGGGATCCTGATGCTCTGTTACCAGGCATCAGAGTTGTTTCACTAACAGCCTCTCAAAGGTCTTCACTTCATGCAGTGAGAGCGGCTGGTCTGAAGTCCTTCAGAGAGCTGGCGTGTCGTTTCTTTGGAATGAGGATGGAATCCAGAGCTGGGGCAGACAACGTGTGTGGGCTCTCGTTCCAAAGAAAAGACATTCCAGCTAGCAATAGCTATAAAACGTATTGATCTGGGATTGTAAATTCGTTGCCAATTAGGTTTTCATGAAGATTAGTGAAGTTTTCTTCATTATCACTAACCAGTCAGCTCCTTTAATTGTTCCTTAAAGCAGGCCCAGGTGATATTTAATTAGAGTTTTTTCTTAAGAATATCACTGACAATAGTTTCAATACTGTTACACTGATAGTATTTAGAAAAATCATCCTAATGGAGGGATTCCATTTGCCCTGATTGTGTTGTATGTTCCTTTCTGAAAGCCCACAATGGCTGTAACATAACCTCAGTCCTGACATAATGATCGGATGAATAGGGGGTGGTGTTTGGCGCGGAGGGTTAGGCCTCTGTGCCTGCGATCAGAATGTGTACATTGGTTAGGGTTAGGGTGTGTATTTGTTAATATATCCAGATTTCATGAATTATTAAGTCTTAGTAGTGTCAGCAGAATTTTCTGCCAAGAAAGCATGAAAACAAGAAGTCTTTAACTTAAAAATAATCACACAGAAGATAGTATTAAGTCTGGTATATCAGCAGAAAAATTTGAACAGTTAAAATTTTAATGTGTTTCTAAAGTTAGACTTCACCAAATTCCTATTCAACCCAGATAAAAAGCTGATTAAATCTAGCATGTTTAGAGTCAGAGTTTTGCAATTAATTCCAGTTAGTAGTAATCAGCTTTGTCCACAATGACTCAACTTAATTTCCGTTTTAACTGAAAATGTACGAATGGTCGAGAGAAAGACAATTCTAAAAAGGATCCTCATGTCACGATGCACCTTGTTTATCTTACTGTGCACAGATGGTGTATATTTAAGTAAAATATCAAAAACCGACATCAACAGAAATGGACTTGGTTTTATGGCCAAATGCTTTTTAGCTGGTCAGACTTAGCAGGCAAACCAATCATTTTAATATTATTGCCAAGGTGATTGATCATGGTAATGCTTCAGAAGATAGTTATAAATTAGTGACCTTAGGCCTTCATAGGAGTCGACATTATTGAGTCAAAATTGACAAGATAAAAGGCTGAATAATGAGAGAAGGGACATGATGTTCTTTGCCAAAGGAGGAAAACTTAGACACTGAGAGTTAGGCTAGGGGCTAAGAGACTGGGAGACGCATTCAGAGCAGCAGCCTGAGGGACTGGGAGACACATTCAGAGCAGCAGGCTGAGGGACTGGGAGACGCATTCAGAGCAGCATCCTGAGGGACTGGGAGACGCATTCAGAGCAGCAGCCTGAGGGACTGGGAGACGCATTCAGAGCAGCAGGCCGAGGGACTGGGAGACGCATTTAGAGCAGCATCCTGAGGGACTGGGAGACGCATTCAGAGCAGCAGCCTGAGGGACTGGGAGACGCATTCAGAGCAGCAGGCCGAGGGACTGGGAGACGCATTTAGAGCAGCAACCCGAGGGACTGGGAGACGCATTCAGAGCAGCAGGCCGAGGGACTGGGAGACGCATTCAGAGCAGCAGGCTTGGATTGTCACCAAGAGCAGGACACATAACCCTGCTCTTACCCTGCACTGACTTCCTGTTAGGTTCAGGACTGACTTCAGAGTTCTACTTACATATTAGGCACTTTAAGCTGTAGCACCTGCCTACCTAACAGACTTCGTTCAAGTTTACAAGCCGCATTATCCACTCAGATCACAGAACACAGGTTTCCTTGCCTTTCCATATATAAATAAAGTGACAGTTTGTGGTAAAGCATTCTGCTACAAGGTCCCTATATTGTGGAGTGATTTTCTAGCCTTTTTTTGGGATGCTGAATTGGTATCAGTCTTTAAATCTGAAGACCCATTACTTCAGTTTAGCTTACCCACAACCTAACACATAACACACCATAACTATGGGTGCTGGTGCAGCTGTACATGCCATTTCTATCTACTATGCTTGTCCATTAATGTGTCTATGCATGTTCTGACCACCCATGCTCTCTACCTGCCTTCCCAGATGTCTGGATGGTGCCCTTGGGGGGGCACCATCTGACGTGGAGTCCTGGTTCAGTCTAATGGAAGGGTGATACCGTGGATGCGACTTACAAACTGTAACTTCATGGGTGCAGACTTCAATCTGTCCCCCATATCAGACCGACAAGGAGAACTGACTCATTGATGGACTTTGGCTTTGACCTTGATCAAAGTTTGCACTCTGCTTTTAGCAAGCAAGCCCACTCATTCTTTTTCCTATAATGTTAGCGTGCTGAGGGGGGTTGGGCAGTCAGTTGACCTTGGACCCCCAGAGCATTTTGTTCCCTACTTGGGAGTTTTTGTTTCCTGTGCTCCATAGTCATCTGGCTTCCTTTCTTTCATTTCTTAGTCTTTTCTTTTCCCTGTTTTTGTATTATCCTCTATTAATGATGTCATATCACACCCATGTAAACCGCCTTGGGGGCGACTCTGCTGTGAAAGGTGCTGTATAAAAATAAATAGAATTGAATTGAATTGATTGATGGTGTTGGTGATGAAGGCCCTGTATTTTGTGGACTGCTGCATAGAGGGGGGGCTGCACCTTCCACAAGTCACAATTCCAGTACCGTTAATCACACACATCCCAAATGAAAATTATCCCGGATGCCAAGCGAGAATTATCTCCCGTTTTCCAAAGAATAGTCGTTAATCAGACAGTAGGTCAATATATCGAATACAGAGATTCAAGAGTATAACAACCAAATCCAAACTGACATCCAAAAGAGAGTGTACCGAAAACCAAAACAGATCATAACGGAAGTCAAATACTGTCTAAAGCATTTGCGGGGCATCTTTTATAGTCCATGAGTGGAGAGGCGGGAAATGGGAACGAGGCGACAGAAACCACTTCATCCAGTTTTGGCACTGCGTTCATGCAGAGAAATGGAAAACATGGAACCAGATTTTCAGACTTGCGGAACAGTATCTGAAGTGATTCACTTTATATTCCCTATTCCACCCAAAGCTAACAAACTTCATTTTAAGATATTTACTGACATATATTCTTCTTTGAATTCTTAAGAATAAGATTTAATTTTGATAGAAACTCTCAATTCCACAAGGGTATTGAAAAGGCTGAATACTGTTTTTACAATAGCCCATAATCCAAAGCTTTTTGGGAATATTTCATGCAGTGGCTTGGGACAAAAAAAAACATCTTAAAAAGTTAAAAAGTAATATCCCATACTTATTAATTAATAACCTAAGCATTTTAGCTAAGTAAAGAGTACAGTTATTAAAACCCCTCCTATATTGATTATATTTAACTTTTTTGCCATTTGGTAAAACTTGAAAATGTATGAGAATTAGAAAAATAAAATTTTGCAATGTACTGTATTG